CCCCCCCCCCCCCCTTCCCGCCGATTCGGACAGGACGAGGCGTTGGCTGAACGGATGCTCGAAAAAGTAGACAGCTTCATCCGAGAAGCCAGGCAAGGCGGCAACAGCAACAGCAACAACTTATCATCCCATGGGCGCGGGGCGGGGGCGACGGAAAAGGGCACCGCCGAGCAGGCTCCGCTGGAGCTGGAGGTCCACTACGACGACAGCTGGCTGGACGAGATGGCGTGCGGTTTGTTCTTGGTGATCGCGCTGGCGCTGATGACCCGGCCGTACGTGGAGGTACGGCTCAAGTCAAACGACTCTGCATGCATAGCAAATTGGAAGTCTGACCCTTTTGAACCCCACACGACCAAGGATAAGGAGAGCATACAAGTGTACGGCATGTTGAGAGAAGGAAGAGGGTTCAAGGAGTACCTTCATGGACCAATGGATGCAGGGACAAAGCTGAAGGTCAAATTCAGGACCGGGGACATTGGCCTTCGAGAACGTAGCCAAAGGCTTCGGAAGGTAGACGATGAAGACGCTAAGTTCAAATATGATTGTGGCTTCGAGTGCGAAGACCGTGTTCATGTAGTCGCGGAATGTCGGCTGTACAAGAAGGAGAGGGAAGTGTACATGACTGAGCTGGGAAAAGTAGAAGAAAAGTACAGGGAAATGTTTGAGGCATGGGATAGCCAGGAGAAGACGTTATTAATAGCTGTACTGGGGCGAAGGAATTGGGTTGAACAGGCGGGAGTGATATCGGGAGGATAGATAGACTAATGAAGACATTTTTGAGCCACCTTTGGCAAAGTAGGAAGGAACGATTGGCCATCGGAGTTCGGTCCTGTGGGAACAATGCTCCGTCCTCTCGAGGGCGCGTGGACAATGGTCTAACCGCTAAGGCATGCACAACATAAGGGTACGCCCCCCCCCTCCTTCGTGCGGGAACAGTATCCCTCATCTCGGGACGCGTGGTCAATGGTCTAATCACAGCTACGGCATGCAACACATGATTCGTCCTCCCCCCCCTTTCTGCGCTCGAAGTCAGCCATGCCGATGTAAATACGTAGGTGAAGAAACTCGAAAATCAGAAAAGAACTTCGTGGTGCGAGAGACTGGCTCTCGTGTTCGACACCCACTCTCGGTGGGATCACATTCCTACGCAAACAATCACGGTCGCACTGCTGTGTTTGGTGTGGGTTTCCTTACTACATGCTGGGTGGTATGATGCCCCCGCGTCGATGCCGAGCCGCCTATGCGCTGATGCACGAATAAGCTCATTCCGTGGCGGTCATACCCATGGAAGGCTGCATAGTAGTTCTTAGGGTTTTCGCCTGCCTTCTATACCGGGCACCGGCCAGCACTACTCCGAGTATGAGATAACTCACGTATATCATCTGTGGCACCACGCGATTTTTTGTAGCCCTGCAGGGCGATGTTGCCGGCCTTTGCTTATGCTCCCTTTTAGGGACCAACCACTGCTCCACTGCTGTGTTTTTTCGTGAGGGTACTGTTACCTGTAGTGTCGTTTCGTCTGCGGCCGTCTGACACTCTGTTGAGGCTGGAAGCGTAGGCTCTATACATACGGCACAGCCTCCTTTGGTCCCTGTTGTGGTTGTTTCAAAGGTTTTGAGGCCCAATTCCTTCACCAACACCAAGCTCTCGAGCAACAACCAAGCTCTCGAGCAACAACCAAGCTCTCGAGTGTTGTGTTGGTCCCCAGCTGTTAACCGCTCCAAAAAATCCCATACCTCCCCGCCCCCCCCTATTTATGCCTACCGTACAGGTGGTTGAGTTTGACGCGGATTCTGGGGCGATGGCCCTGGACAGGTGGAACCTGTTCAACTGCGGGGTGTTTCGTTACTCGTGCGCTCTGGAGAACATCAGCAAGATCGAGATCACCGAGGTACAATACATACATCCCACACGGTTGCACTAGTTTCCTTGCGACATGTGCATGCGCCGAACCGTTACACGCGGGGCTCTCGGACATACCCCGTGGGTCTTCATGCCGTATCCACCCTATATTTTCGATATTTCGATCGACTGAATTGGTACATATATTGCATATGGTAGTAGAGTATCATACGGAGTTTAGCGTTCTTGCGAGATGTGCATTCGCCGCACGCAGGGAGTGAGAGAATTTTTTCACCCACCACCCTGTATTTTCGACTTGTTGATCGACTGAAATGGTACATGTATATACATATCGCATATGGTAGAAGTAGCAAAAGTTTTCTTGCGAGGTGTGCATTCGCCGCACGCAGGGAGGGAGAGAACTCTTGCACGCGCCACCGTGTATTTTCCGACTTTTCAATCGACTGCAGCCCAGGCACGCTGACATCCCATGTTGTTGCTCCTGCCCCCTTGTCTGTGCCAAGAGCTGTCTTTCCCCTCCTCCGTCACGGCTCCGTCCTTGGCCTCTTGCTCTCCGTCTGGAGCAATTCCTCGATGGTTAACACTCTGGCAGGTACCCCCTCCCCCCCCCCCCCCCCCCCCCCCCCCCCCCCCCCCCCCCCCCCCCCCCCCNCCCCCCCCCCCCCGCGCGCCGTGCTCCTTTGGGACATGTAATCAAATTACACGTAATTAAGCGCGCGTTGCCCCCTGCTCTCCAAACTCCAAGGGGAACGTGTATATGATGTCGGCGCACGCCTTCGAGCACCTACGGCAGACCAAGGAGTTCGGACTGCGGGTGATCTTCTCCGTGCCCCTTGGCGCTAGCCAGGAGACCACAGCACATCCCCGGTCCCCCCGGCCTAGTAACGCCGCCATGAACCTCTCGGATACCGATGGCAGTAGCCCCAGTAGCGACGGCGATGGAATTAGTGGTGTTTCGGGTACCGTCGGCGGTGCGCCGGTGGCCCGTGGGACCGCTCGGCGTGCAGTGGGGGCCCCGCGACGAAGAAGATGGGGGGTCTTGTTTCGGAGACTGCTGCTTTGTGGGAGAGCGGGGTGGTGTTTTGGGGGGCGTGGGTGGTGGAGACGACCAGCGGCGAGGTGCGTGCGAGGGAGAGAGAGAGAGAGCGAGAGAGAGAGAGAGAGAGAGAGAGAGAGAGAGAGAGAGAGAGAAGGAGAGAGAGATCGTGCCTTTGATTTATCACTGCTGCTGTGGATGGAATTTTGGAAGGGGTGCAATGAGCGTGTAGGCGGTGGTTGTGCTTTCAGCGGTGGACGGCGCGATTTTTTTTTACGGGAAGGACAGATGACATCGTAACAGTCCAAGAGGACGTTCTTCGTGCATTTGTCAGCGAGTTCCCGCGCGTAAGAGACAAAAATGTTCAAGGTCGTTTACGTGATCACCTTGCTTTCGCCCGAGGAACAAATACACGCAAAGACAGATGGCATCAGTGAAAGTTTCTGTTCTCACCGGCTGAATCATACTCAAACCTGCTTGCCCAAAGGAGCAATTCCAAACGCGGTGTATCGTTCTTTAGTTTCGTGCGGGATGATGATTCCTCGACCGCGAGTCGTTCGACACAGCTTTGAGAGCAAGCTCGGAGGGTGTCTCAACACTTGTTATAGAGAAGCAAGCGCACACAGCAGCCGGCGGAGTGGCAGCGAAGCGACGTCGAGATGTCGAAGAGATACAGATTCAGCTGAACTCCGCCGATGGTATTTTGTTCTATCCACCCCGCCGATAGATGCGTCCTTCCGCCCGCCCGGCGGTTGTCAACCAGATTTAGGGGCGTTCACGGCTGACATTCCCTAACAAACAATGCTACCACGGACATCCGTGAACTTGGGCTGGCAACTCGCACGGCACCTGACGATGGTGTTCAGCTGGTTTATTGGAAAGCTTACGCTATCTAGCGATCTGCATCACCTTGGACCAAAGTGTGTTGTCATCGCTTTTCCAGGGTATACTCCATACAGAGCACCCGGGACCAAAATTCGTTATCATATGCCAGTATATACGTCGTGCGTGTTTTGATGCCAGTGTCTTGCCGTAGGAGTCCGCTCTCATCGTCGCTGGGGTCTCTGTGGATTACTGGTTTTCTCCACAATCGCCCCTTCCCCAGCTTTGTGGGGGTGCGAGGTTGACGGTCTAACGACTACGGCATGCGTGGACGTGAGTACACCACCCCACCCCTTACCCTGTCCCCCTCCACGCCCATCCACCTTACTCCCGTCCCTTCCCTCCTACCATATCTTCCACTCGCCGTGCTGTTGCCGATCGTGCTGGTGATGCCGTGCTAACAACGTTGACAGGGGCGTTCTCAGCACCTCGGGGGAGTTGATGTATCTGAACCTCTTGTTTGGGAAGAAGGAGCTCGACGACCGGAATCTGCGTAGGCCCGTCGAGATGGTGAACGAGCTGCTTCTCCGGTTTGCCAAGTGAGCGGCGTAGGTGAAGGGGGGGGGGGGGGGGGGGGGGGNGTGCATGCCGCAGTCGTAAGACCACTGACCTCGCATTCCTACGTTGCCGGGATGAAGTCGCTATCTTTTCAACGGACCAGGCCAGCACATCACCATGTGCGAAGCGGGGTGAGGTATTCGGCGAATCGTACAGAGGAGGGGTTGTATGGAAAGGGGGGGGGGGGGGGGG